GGGCCCCTGAAGAGTATAAAAGGGAAGCATGCTCAGCAGGCTAGGGAGAGACGATGAGGGATGGCAAGGAGAGAGAAGCTCCAGAGATGGCCGTCCTTGGGACCTCACCTGAGCTTCAGCAGTGCACGGATCAGTGCACAGGGAGCTGGCCCTAGGAGCAGCTTGAGGCTGCTTGGGCCTCACCTGGTACGCAGGTCGGCACATAGAGAATCTGCCCTGGGAGCAGCTCGCGGCTGCTCGGGCCTCATCCGGTGCGTGGGTCAGTACACGGAGAAACTGCTTTGGAAGCAGATCGCTGCTGCTCATGTTAGCCCCAGTCCTAGGCCAAGTGACCAGAGCCCTGCAGTGTAGCTCCACCTTTAACTAAAAGAGCACTGGTGCCCAGAGCAGGGCCCTGGAAAGGGAAGAACCCCCGGTGTGAGACCAAGGTGTCAGACTTTGCAAGGGCTTGGCTCCCACAAGAGAGAGAGAGCCCTAAGTGCCCAGTGTGGGGCACCAGGCCATCGAGGAGAACTGAAGGCACCACTGGGGAGAGGCTCTTGCAGGATTAGCCACCAGAGGATGAGCCTTGACTTATCCAGAGAGGAAGCATGAGTTACTGGGGAAGTGGGCCCCACAGGGGAGGGGGACATAGGTGATGAGAGTCTGCTGCCTCCACCCTCCATTGCGGGAGGGGCGTGTCCACGTCCCAGGGCCCTAAAGGGGAGGGGCTTCAGGGACACCCCTTGGGGAGGTGCTGAGTGCACCCCCTGTTTTGAGGTTGTCATTGTGTTAAGGGCTATATAGCTAGGGGTATTTTTTAAGCGGGTTTATATGGTTCGTGTGTTTTAATGCCACAATGTGTATATTGGTATTATTATTTGTGAAGGTTTAAAGAAATATTATTGTTAATTTACTTGGGTTATACAGGTTAATATCCCTGTGTGTTAATTGTGTTGTATAAGTTGTAAGTTATTTGGTTCAAATTTGGTATTATATGAATTGTGGAATATTATATATATATATAGCAATATATGTTAAGCCTTGTATATATTCTGTTTTATATTAAGTGTCTGTATTTATTCTTGTAATAAATTGTACATAGTTAAGTATTTGGTTTCGGCTTAGCTCTATAGAGAGGGGAGGAAGCTGCACTAGTAGCTGACCCCTTCCTCAGCACCCTGCCTGACCACCACCACTGTCAATTCCAGTCTTTCCCTCAGCAATGTGATTTATAGGAGGAGGAAACCAACGTATAAGGGAGCTTTTAAATCGGGGTGTAAATGCTTCTATTAAACCAAAGTACTCAATTACGCAACAAACCACAGTTTGGGTAAGCTGAAAATGAAATCAGGGAAGATTTTTGCACCTTATATATATAGCACACGTTTTCATGGGCTGAAAATTTGAAAGTTGAAAATTACCAAGTTTAGTAGACAATCAGCTCTGCTGTCAGACTTTACCTGTCTCCAGTTCCACGCTTAAGTAAAGCAGGAGAAGTAGCAGAGAGAAGGATGGCATCACTCACTAATCAGACTGAAACACCTAGTCACAAAGAACTCTCAGAGAAAGATGCTATATGGCAAAGTGCAAATCAGGGCACAAAGAGAGTTAAAGTACAGATGACTGACCCCTACTGGTAGACCATAGGACTGAAGAAAGGAGGAGGGAATGACATGTAGCCCCCACATCCAGTTCCTGTGCTATCATTGCTGTCAGCTATCTGGAGAGTTAAAGCAAATTCTTGTTTTAATTGGTGCAGCATAAGTATCTATTATTTATTAGTTGGCCTTATTAGGAGAAAGAATTTTTATAAAGCTAGCAATACATTCAGTGGCCATTACAGTGACAGAATAGCAAATTCTATTTCCTATCCTTATTATCCATTAAAGGGCTTGCAGTAGAATTATGTTTGTTAAAAAAAAAAAAAGTTTGAAATTTTGCTTTTCTAGTGTTTAAAACAATGTGTGTGTGCATGTTTTGAAGAGAGCTAATTCTACCCAAAGGGTCTCTCATGGACTCAGAAGAACAGACTTCCTCCTTCGGCTTCCTCTGTGCAAAAATGAAATTTATTTTCTATCTATGGGGACTTTTTACCATCTTTAATTTTCCCTAAGCCTGAGGAAGGGTGCTTGTGCCTGAAAGCTTGTAGAAAAAGATAATTTTTTTTGCGATTTCTTAGTTGGCTTAATAAAAGGTATCATCTCTGAACCAAAAGTTCTAGAGTTTTGCATTTCTCTTTGTCTCAGACCAACATGACTACTAAAGACATCCCTGAAAAAGAGATTAAGTTAATTTATAGAACATAGACTCTCTTGCTTCTTTTCTGCTCCTGTGTTTATGTTTGTTTAAAATAAATTAATAATTATACTTGTATAATCAGGTGTAGTCAGTACCTTAGTTGCAAGGAATTGACCAAAACGCGTACTCATTTGCTAAAACAGAAGATTTTAATTGGCAAAAGATCTCAGTTATGATTCCTCATGGCCACAGTAATTACAAGCATCCCATTTATACTAATGCAAGGACAAAAGGAATCTGCTACCAGATGCTGATCACCAAATTCCTTGTGCTTAAAATACCTACAACAGCTTCAGAAGAAATATCCACATGCTCCATGTATTTGGATGCCTATAGGCCCATCATGTTATAGTTTTCCAACAAAACTACAGTTGTTTTCTACCAAGCCCCAAACAATGTTAACCTTGCCTAAGTTAAACTACAACCCCAGAACTCAGCCAGATTTGTCAGATGGTTCACAGAAATCTCATCTCTTGTCAGTACATGAACTCTTTGGCTAGGGACAGAAGTTACACATAAACTGGTTTAAGTGATCAGAAACGAGTTTAAACCTTTCACAGAACAGAAGCTCAGTGCACATAAACCAGTTTAAAAATGGCTGAAACTGGTTTAAGATCAACCTGGTTGAATGCAGTATCAGACTGAACTGATTTGGGTCAAACTGGTTAATGAAACTTCTGTCCCAGACCCCTTCCTGGTTCAAATTAAATCAGAGTCCCCCACCATCCCAACATTTTGCAGCCCTGGGTCAGGCTGTGCTATCTGCGCCAAAGAACAGGGGGCCCTGCCCCTCTGCTCCCTAGCTGGAGCAGTGAGGGCTGCAGGGGGCCCCAATCCCCCTGGGTATGAAGCCCAGTCTACAGGGTTGGGGGATTGGCCCCAGACCCCAGCCAGGGTTTGCCTGGAGGGGACAAGGAGGGGGGTTAAAAACCCTTTCCTCTGCTCAAACTTAGTGCTAGAAACAACTGTGGACTACAAATCCCAAAGGCACCTGGAAGCAGGAAGAGGAAGTGATGAGCAACCCTGTAGAGTCCTGCCGTTGCAAGTCTGGACTGAAAATCCCAGAGGATTACCTCGGGGGCAGCAGGAAGAGGAAGTGAACACAGAGCCAGAGAGCCATACTTCAGCACCCCCTGGCTTCTGGCTTGAGCCACCACAGGCATGTGGCTGCATTTCCTGAGTCAAAACTAAATGTGTGTTCACTTCTGTTTCAATTTAATCTGTGCAGTTTAGACTAACCTTCAAAGACTGAATCAATTCAGCCTCAGGCTTTTTGACTGCCTGTATTTAGCCTTTAAGACAGAAGCACTGACTTTCATGTCCCAGTGCTAGAAACTCCAGTATCCATAGACTGAAAGTTTTGAGTTTTGCATAGCTCTTGTTCTCAATCTGTTTTTCTTTACATACTGCTGGTAAACATGTCTGAGCCATATCCATACAATTCCCTCTGTTGTTGTTGCTAGAAGTGGATCTGAATTGTAGATGAAGCTGACATGAGAAAAGGTTGCTTAGTCTTCACTGTCTATTCAAAGACTGGTGTCTCCAGTGAGAATACAACAGGCACTAATTGTGGGTTTTGTTTTTTGTGATGAAGATACCTGCCTACAAGAAAATGGAGAACATTCACCAAGAACTAAATTGAATTTATTAAGGGCACTTAACAGATATGATACCATAAGTTTTGGCTGAGGAGTCCTGGATTTGACATATAGAGATTTTCATGTCTATCTTCTAGTTTGCTGAACCAGCAGTCTTCATAAAATCAATTTTATTGCCAATAAAACAGGACACAATCTTGCTAAGGAAAGAATCAGTAACATATATTGACTCTGATATCTTATAGCATCATTTATCTTATAAGAAATTATAAATTGTCTCTTTAGAAAAGGCTGGGAGCTTCTGAGCAGTTCCTGCCATACTCGCTTTACTTCTCTTCACTGTACCTTTAAGGCCTCCTCACCAGATCAGATTGGTTAAATCAAATTAAAAAAAAAAAAAAAGAAATACTAACTGTCTACATTCTGCCTAGATATTATAAATCCATTAGAAATGCAGATAAATCCAATAAATGTATCAAATAGATATGGCTAATCAAACAACAAATCTTATCTACCTGTATTTTTGCCAGAGTTCTAAATATATTCTAGTCTTCACTATATGTTTGCTCTTTGGTGTCTGGCTAAACCAGCATATTGTCTTGTTGGCAAATTCTCTTAAACATAACACTGCCATTCCTATTTTTTAAAAGAAAATTATTTCTCTTGTTCATTCTTTGTTCATATAATGTGACTAGAAAAGTGTATTCATGTAATAATTTATTTTTTCAGTTATACAGTAAAATCAATCTATATGCCTTTTTAGTTGTGATTTCCTATATTTTCAGACTTAAATTATGTTAAAATATAGTTAAATCTAAAAATATCTGTAAGTGAGAAACAGATCTGGTATTAATCTCCAAAAACCAGTCCTATAAACTCATAAAATTCAGAGGTAGAGCTAAACACACAAAAAATCCAAATTCTTGCCCAATGGTGAAGCTACATAATTTACCATATCTGATTTATCTTTTATACTTCAAATTAAATTAATCTGCTTTCTAAAGCATACTTTTTAAAATTTTCTTTTACCCTCAACATGTGGGTAAAATATTTTTTAAAGTATCAGTTTAATCTAATCTGAACCTATAAATGTAATCAATACAAAGAAAATGCATTCCTTACCTACTCTGAAGATCAAGTCATCTTCAATGGGATTCTCTTTTCTTTTTCCAGTGCTGTACATACTAGCTGGTCTTTTCACGGCCTTTTGCTTCACGTGGCCACTGCCAGGAGATTTAACACGCCTCTTAACCCCTTCAGTAGTAGGGGACACATCTGCAGATCTGACAACTTTAAGTTTAAATGGACTGCCCTTGATATGCTGATCATAAAGTCTCAGTGACAGAGTAAAGTCCCCTTCCTTCTGAACAGTATACAAAAATTCATAAGTGCCATTTTTATTGTCAAGTATTTCTCCATCTGCCACACTCCCATCAGGTGTGCTCAGTTCAGCAGTGAGGTAAGCATTTCCAGATTTACAGAGCTCCCCATCTTTGTCCTTGGTTGTGATGGTAACTGACATAGGCTGTCCAATAACAGTCTGCCTCAGTCCCTCACCCGTGGCAACTGTTTCAGAAGCTACAGCATTAGTGGTTAAAATGGTGCCCAGATTGTGAATGGATTTCTTCAGTCCATCGGTTTCCACTATGAAGTCCAGTTGGTCATTTTCACGTGGGTGCAATGGGAAGTCCCGGTCAGCCAGCTCATTCAGCTTGTCACTCATTTGCTTCTTAACCAGTAGAACTTCAGTTTCAGTACCATGATTGAGTGCTTGGGCTGTAAAGTTGCTACAACTCTTTATACTCTCCTGTCCTTCTAGAAGGGTATCTAGCTGTGTTTGGAGAACCTGAATGTAATGCAGAACACCTGGTTAGTGTGATGTTATCATGAGGTTTTGCAATACCAAGTTTTTAAGTACTCCTAGGTATGTAAACCTTTATATAACCTGCACAACCATGCAGTTTGATGGGGACCTCTTATTTTGGACCTCTGAACAGTGGCTTTTGAAGATCTGCTAGGTTGCACTACTGAAAGAGCTGGTTAGAACTTTGATCCTTCTGCCTGAGAGCAGTCTTTGGTTGTTAAACAATATGAGCAATTAGCTCTGCACACAGAGATTATGGTGTTTTTGAGTCATCCCCTTATTTATATAGGAGGCTGCAGGGAACCCCTTCTCTACAACTAAAGTAGGGAGAAATTGCAATCAAGACAAGAAGGCATTATTGAGAGACTCATGATCATGTTGAACAAGAAGGGTAAATTTCAACCATAAGAAGAAAGAAAGAAAAGAGCTTCCCCTAGCAGGAGCTGTGGCAGGGAAGTCTGCTCACCAGCTTTCAGCAGCCAACATGGTCTATAGGCAGGCACAGACAATAACATAATTACAAACCATTTCAGAGACAGAAGGGAACAAATTGCAATCTCAAAATCCCCTTTCACAATGCTTTTTTGGTGTATATAAAATGTCTTCCAGGAGTCAAAATTCCACATATTTTTTCTATCCCATCTTCATTCTAGAATAGGGGTTGGCAACCTATGGCTTGTGAGCCACATCCAGCCTGTGAAGAGATGATATCAGACCCACCAGGCACATTTGCACACTTAGTGGCTGCCTCTGTCAATTGCTGCCCCTGGCCCAAGGAGGACTGAGGCGATCTGCTGTCAGTGAAATGTCACCCAGCCCCTGTCCTGGGACATACCAAGTTAAACTGATACTTTGGCTATTAAACAGCCCCAAAATAACTATAACCCGTATGTAGGAATTATTGAATTAAGGGTAACAAACCATAACTCTGGGAGAAAACAATTTACAATTATAGAGTTAAATCATTACGCTCCAAATACTTGTTTTCTTTCATCACACAAAAGAAAACTATTCAACCTTACCATAACTAATATTTTAAACATGTTTAAAGCATTAAAGCAAGGCGTATGCCAATCAGTTTGGAGAACGGAAATTATTTCTATCTTGTTCATTCTTTTTTTATATTATCTGACTAGGGAAATGTATTCATGTAATAACTTACTTTCTCAGTTATATAGTAAATTAATCTATATGCCTTTTTAGTTGTGAGTTCCTATATTCTCAGACAAAAATGATGCTAAAAGAGGTAAATCTAAAAATACTTGTAAATGAGATAGATCTTGTATTAATCTCCAAAACCAGTATTATAAACTCATAAAATTCAAAGGTAGAGTGAACAATTTCACTTTTGTTCAAGTGTACTTGCAGTCGATTCATTTTTTGGTTTTCCTACTGTATGTTATCAAGATGATGCTGGAATATCTGGGCTTGACATTCCTCAGGGAAATAATATTTGTCTCAAAACAAAATTGTGTCTAAAATTTCTGCTTTAAAAAACCTCATGGAAATCTAAAAATCCTGACTGTAAATTAACACAAAAAATCTGAAAATATGCATTGATAGGAACAGCATTATGTTGTACCTTGGGTTGACACACATATTTTGGGCTGTTTCAAAAGAAGAACATTTCAAAAGAGAAGCTGCTGATCAGGTGTTACATTATAGCTGTTACAAGCTAGAAGTGATATACAAATGTAGCAAAACTACTCCCAGTTTAACTCTGAATGAAACTGGGCATGTCTACATGTGCATTTACTGCATAGTAACCGTGCAGTTAGCGGTTTTTAAGTCGGTGTCTACACATGCAAGCATTACAGCACAGTAATGCTGTGTGTGCACTGACTTGGGAGTAAAGTTAGTCCCAAGTCAGTCCACACACAGTGTTACTGAGCAGTAATGTGTCTACATGTGTGCTACTGCAAAGTAACTACTCGAGCATAAATTTGCTACCTGCATCAAGCAGGTAGCAAATTTACGCCCAAGTTGGCATAAGTTGCCATAGTTATTTTGTAGTAACCTAAATTACTGTGCAGTAAGTGTGCTCATGTAGACATGCCTACAGTGTTAAAGTTGGAGCTGTTTTGCTACATTTGTATCACTCCCAGGTTGTCCATACATAACTGCTGTAACATAACATTTGCTGCCCAGTCCAGGGCAAGAGTCGCTCCCCTCCCCTTTTGGGAGCTCATGAAATGTGATCTCAGGAGAAGATCCAGTGAAGGAGTTAGGCTCCTAAATTTGAACTATATCTAAATCTTCAATCCTGAAACCCCCCCAATCAGCAGCTGTCTAACTTTGGAAATGTCCAAACTCCATAGGACCTGAAGTTTTTTAACTTAAAGTTCACTTAGTGCCTGAAAGGTATCCTCCTGTTTATGTGCATAAGCACCTCGGTCAAGCTGTTATGGCAGTGTTAAACAGCTTGACAGTTAGCTAACTTTTAAGCCTATTCAGGGCTAGAAACTAAGGATCCCTTTGCCTAAATTGCCTGAGGGTGTTCTCAGAACACATTGATAGGATCAGGTAGACAAGGTTCTTTGGGTAAACCTGATAGGAGCCCACACAACATAGAGGAGAAAGTGATAGTTGTATCCTATAATCTAGGCTGCTGACAGATAGGGGGGAGAAGAAACACACTTTACTTTTAGCTCAGCACGCCCCCACACCAAGCACAATGCACACCCAGAGGAGGAAACACGTTAGTTTGACCCGGCTCACCCAGCATCTGTATAGATCATGCACTTCAGCAGGGTTTTTTGGCAATTTTATCTAACAGCTGAGTGAATCAGCTATTAGATAAAAATGCCGAAAAGGTCCATTAAAGCACATGATCTATACAGATGCTGTGGAGCTGAGTCAAACAAACACAATTCTTCTTCCTGTAAAGCATCATTTTGGTTTTCTTTTTTCCACATCTATCAGTGGCCTAAAGGTTAAAGCACTCACCCAGGCAGTAGAAGAACTTCATACTCAGCTTGGTAGGATTGAAACCCACATTCCCCACTTCCTAAGGGAGTGCCCAAACCACCAAGATGTTGCGCTAGACTGACTGGGAGCACTCTACAAGCT